CTCGAGACAGTGTTTCATCGGCTATCCAAACACCTTGAATTTCGTCAAAAATACTCCGCTGTGCATCGTGTTTTCAACTCTCCTCTCGGTGTTGGGATATCTCGATGAAATACTGTCTCTCGTGTTTGACATATTGTCGCTGACGCATTTACACTTTTACACAGCGTTTCTAAAAACAGCTGATTATTACATCTTACGCTCTCATTCGTGGAATTGTTAGAGTGCGCTTCAGAGTATCTCGTTCAGAGGCGACAGTGCAAATTAAATCAAAAGAAATCTCAACAACTAGTAGTTTTTATGGTTGATATATAGACAACGATTAAAAAAAGGAAAATTCGGAATCAATGCAAAAAGGAAAATGGTTACAGAGCAGTAAAGAAAATAGTAGTTTACCTGTGGAATGTTTTGACAACAGAGAAACCCCTTACTTGTGGCATAGCTAACATTAAATTGAACAATTTTATTCACGTTTTCAGATTCGTATAAAGATATATTGTGGAGGTTGAGACTGATTACAAAAGACTACTTTGAAAAATTCTTTATTTGTACTCTCTCTCTCTCTCTCGTCTACTAATTGCAGAAAATATAGATGATAAAATCTAGATAGTAAAAAAAATAGAAAAATAGAATAAAATAAAAATGGAAAATATTAATAATTAAATATAGATAATAAAACAGGAAAAATAGAGATAAAAATAGACAAAATAGAATAAGAAATAGAAAATATAAATAATAAAACGCACCTCTAGGAATCGAGACTCTTGACTAAGTTTTGTTTGTTTGTTTGTTTTTTTGTTATTATTGTTGTTGTTGTTGCTGTTGTTGTTTTTTTTTGTTTTTTGTTTTTGTTTTTTGTTTTTTGTTTTTGTCGTTTTAATTGCTGGTTAAATGGTGACAAATTTGTTATAACACGAAGTAACTTGAACGCACGTTGCGAATTCGAAGAAGTTCATGAAAGTCACAGTTTTTGAGATGCCGCTTTTTGAAATAATGACACGGCGGTAAGTAATGTCGTATAATGTGCAAGGGAGGTAGCATCAGACGGTAAATGATCGAAGGACTGCATTGTTAAGTACGTTTATGAAAGGGTCAATGCGACGATGTAAATCACCTTCCATGTTGTCTTTCCATTTTCCTGCTGAAGGATCACTCGCCGCGTCAGCTGCGTTGCGCAGTATCTTTGTTTTGCCGTTAATTGGTGTCCGGTTTGAACGAACTTTCCTCAAAACGCACAAAGTGCAGCCTCTGCCCTGATTATCGCCACTTTTGTCATTTCTTTTATCAAAGGCGAGATTGTTTTCAACTTTGTGGAAATTTCCTTTTACCATGATCCCGTTAGTTTTCCACACCACGTTTCTCATTATAGTGCCCTTTACGCCGACTTTTGGGGGCTGCCCATCAAAGCGGATACCGTACTTGGGGCTGGAATGAACCCAGTTTAACAATACTTTTGCGTTCGCCTGAGCACCAATTTGGAACTGGACACTGCCTCCGTCGTGCTGTAAAATTCCCGCGCATTGGCGATGAATGTGGTTGCCGCTTGACAAGGGGATTTTCCTTTGAAGGACCATATCCATTGCTTGCCCCATTAAAGCGCATAGTGTTCCGAAAAAACTTGTCGTTTCTACCGCTCGATATGACAGTCCCTAATCCACCAGGCTTCTCCTTCATATTAGCAACGGACCAATCATTGTACATAAACAGATTGTTCTTCAGGAGCACTCCGTCGCCTCTATATTGAAGAGCGAGGCCATCTGAGCCATAGAAGGTGCTGTTTATTAATTGGAAACTGTTCCGCGTACCTGGTTCGATGACTGTCCAGGCCGGTGGTGAGGGATCACCGAGCATGCGCTTGGAATAAGATGGGAAGTTAAAATTGATGGTATCAAAAGACAAGCCAGTTATCACCTCACGTTTTTGTCTTGGCTGCACTATTATGAGCCGAGCTGACCGGCTCCGACTTTAACGGTGGGTCGATTCGCGGTGCTGGTAGCTTGTTAAAAATTAAGTACAGTTGGACCCTACTGATTTGAACTTGGTTATTTTAGAAATCTATGTTAATTTGAACTCAAAACCATTTCCCTTGGATTTGCCTTTCATTAATTTACCACTGGCTATTTTGAATGATTTTTCGTTCCCCATGAGAGTTCGAAATAACGGGGTTGAACTGTACTTGTTTCGCCCTCTTACTATAGTTCAGTAGTTACAGTTCTTGTAGTTCAGTGATCACAGACTATAATTTGCGAAAGCAAAATGACTGATCGACCTGATATCCGAATTTTACGGGACATTACAACGGATTTAAGCAGAAAATGTTGAATTTAATACTAATGATAATACAAATTGTACTGCGCAAAAATTTCATAAGAAAGTTCAAATGAGCATAACAACGACTGGATAACGATACAAGAGGCAAAAGAAAGAACTAAATTTAAATTGCTAATACAAAGCCGTGTTAAATACGCTAAACAATAATAATAAAAGCAACAACAGTGCTTGACTTTCCTTTGCTTTGCTATTCCCACTGTGCAACTTGCGTCCCAGCATGGCTGGTTTGGTATCATGTGACCCAGTCGTAAAAAGAGCCTTTTTTATTACGAAGCTAGCGGTAAAAATGCTAAAGAAAAAGGATGCGATTT